ATTAATATATTTTTGTAATTAAAAGCTGGAATAATGATAAGTAAATTAGTAACTTAGGTTTAGGATAGACAAAATGATATAAGAATTTGTATATTAAAGTATAAGCTAACAATATAAATTTAATAAATGAATATCTAAATCATATATAATATTTAAAGTTAAAAAGTCTATTATAATATAAAGATATAATATACTTAAATCCGTTTATATCTTTATTTTTATAAGTTTAATACCAGTTTAATTAAATCAAGAGAGCTTGTTAATTTATCAGTTTTATTAAGCATTAATATAGAAAATTAAAAAAAATATTAATCAAAAAAAAGCAGAGAAATAATTATAAAGATTGGAATAAGAATATAGTAAAAATAAAAAAGAATCATATTATAATAAATATAAAAGTTCTAAAGTTTTAAAATATATAGAAAATGAATCTTATAATTTAATCTTTAAAGAAAATCAATATTAAATACATATTGATCCTGATTTACCTGATAATAAAACAAAGAATTCTTGTAATACGTGACAAATATATCTTTTATTCAAATGATATGAATGAAAAAACTGGAAATCAAAAGGTGAACAATCCTTATATAAAAAAGAACAAGATTATATATATTATATAAGTGAATTTCTTACTGAAAAAATTGGATTTCTTTACTTAATATTTGAATAATAACAACAAAATTAACACATAGTCATGATTTATAAGGACTAACTAAAATAATGATAGGTGATGAAACGTTTAAAAATAAATAGAACAAGTAATTAAAAAAGCAATTACAATTTTTAATATAACACATTCCAATTGTATTACAGTATTTGCATTTGATAATGCAACTAGTTATTCTTGTTACAAAAATGATATCTTAATTGCATCACGAATAAATATGAATCCTGACGAAAAATAATCAAGAATGTATGATACAGTTTTTAATAGAACAACACAATCAATAATATATCTAATTGATTATCCAATTTCTGAATTATAAAATAAGTCTAAGAATTGAAACAAATTTTATTAGAATATAGATTATGGAAAGAAAGATTAAAAAAAATATGTAAATTATATCACACTAAAATTGGAAAATAAAGTCAAGCTTCTAAGTGCTGTATATAATGAATTATGGAATTGCAACCTGACTTTCAAGCACAAAATCTTGGATTAAGGAAGTTATTAATGTATATAGTCATATGATAATTTTTTATCCTATGAATTGAACTTTATAAAAATGGTGCAGTTAAAAAATATACATGAGATAATTGTGGTCATGCATGGAAGGGTTTATTAGATACAGTGCCTAAGACTTTTGATAATATTATATTATTTTCAATTAGAAAATTGCACTTAAATCTTATGATTATATGGATATTTATTGTAATAATTAACGGGAGCTGCTGCCGTACATGCAATAAAAAAACCGTTCTCATAGACGTGTTTCCAAAATTGCGTTATATAGTTTAATATCCGTATTAAATTAGGTTTTTTATATTAATCTATGTGGTAAAAATTTAAAGATTACTAATAAAATTATAATTTTTTAAAATAATTAAACTTTCGTAAAATTAATTTTTAAATAAAAATATAATTACTGATAATAATCTAAATACATGTACATGTAACCATTTTATGCTACATGTATTTAGAATCTTGATTAATAATGTTCAAATTTTAATACATGATAAAAACTGCGAGACTAGATGATGTGCATTGTATCGGATATTGTCATGTTGTGCAACAGGATCCATTTGAAAACATACGCCACAAAAAGTAATGCCCGATTTGCATGTGTAACAACATAGCGATAGGTAAATATATGCATCACGTTTTCCCATTTTTTTGTTATTGTTGACGCTAATTTTTTTATTATTTTCTTCTTTTACTTTCAAACATATACTAGGTGAAATTTTTTTAGGTGTAAATATGATACCTGTAGTACCAGTAGGCCATTTTTGACAAGGACAAAAATAGTGATTTTTATGAAGTTATGAGTGTCAAGCAAGTTGCAAGAAAAATGTGACATAACCCGATTAGAGTATAATGGTCTCTTGCCAAGCACAAAAGAAACAGGAAAAACAAAAAACAAAAATTTATCACTGTCTGAGAGACCATAGGCTTTTAAAAATCAAGAAAAAAAATGTATCTATACAAGAAGCAAAAAGACATCCTGAGTCATTTCACAATATTAATAATAAAAAAATTTGTGCAAAAGTTTATCTAAAGATTCTTTAATGTAATTTGGTCCCTTTCATAATATAATTTGTTCATTGATTTGAAAAACATGGTGTTTCAAAAAAATAAAACTTGATCTACATTAGATCAAATAGAGCAATCAATAAATATTGTGTTTTCATGATCTAAACTTCATAAAACTGGTTTCAAATCATTAAGGAATAATATTCTAAAGTGTATAGGCTTCTCAAGGATCATGAAAAAGCTCAAGACTACTCTGAAGAAAATTTGATGTGTTGACTTTTTAGGAGATTGTAGGCTCAATATCTTGAGAAATCAAAGTGATATTAGAGTCATATAAAGAGCTTATAATGTATTAGCTAGTAATAAAAAATATTTTTATATTCATAAGACATAAATAAAATAAATCCAAAATTTTATTCTTTAAAATATCAGATATTATTTTTTGTAATGACTGTATATGTATATATATATATATTGAAAATACCATTATTAATTAATATTATATTTGGCAGAATATAAGCAATATCAATATATTGATTTTTTTTCTATTTTTTTGAAGCTTAAAAAAATAGCACTAAACTTTTTAATCAGCTGCTTCATTTAAAATTAATCTTAATTAGTTATTGAATATGATATAATATTATTTAAGTTATTACTATAATTATTATTAAAATACAATAAAAAAATTGCTATTATTAAAAATTAAAAAAAAATAATTAAAAAAATATTATTATCATTAAAAAAAATTTAAATAATAAAAAAAGATAAAAATTATATTTTTCATTTTATATTTTCTATTATAATAAAAATCCTTTATGCTTCATGTACAATCAGAAAAAAACTTTGTATTATTGCTTATTATAAATAAAATTCTTTATGAAATACTTAACAAAAATATGGAATTAATTTTGCACAAATATCAAAATAATATAAAAATGAATCTGTTATATTGAAAGCTAATTCTAAAAATTGCTGTATTAGTACTAATTAACATCTTATATTCAGATATTAAAGAAGAATTAAATAAATAAATTGATATTTTATATCAAAATGGAATTGTTATTATAATATATATGGTTTAACAAAAAATAAAATCTCTTCTTAATAATAAATACTTACAAAAATATTCTAATACTAAAAATATCTTCACAGTATTTTATAAATAACTCTATGACTTTATGAATCATTATAATCTTTCTATTTATCAAAAAACAAGAATTGAACAAAAATTATTTTGAGAGCTTTCTTAAAAATCAATATTATTTATTACAAATTGCAAATATGAATGAAACTCCAAGTTTTTTGATATAATTGATAATTCAACAATAGAAAAAAAGGCATGTATACAGTTCAACTTCACACTACAGGAAATAATAAAAATATTTTACATGTGTTTTAATAATTATTACTAATGGAACTAAACTTAAACCTATAGTGATTTTTAAAGGCAAAAAATCACCAAAAGATCTTCTAGTATTATAGCTAGAATGCAAAAAAATGGTTGAATAGATGAAAATCTAATGATAGCTTGGCTTCAAGAAATATGGAAAAATCATTTTAAATTAAATGAAAAATCATTTTTAATGATAGATAGTTTTGAAGGTCATAAAACAAGACTTGTAAAAGAAAAATATCAACAATTATATTGATTAGGCTATTATACCTGGTGGTCTTACATCACTTGTTCAACATTAAATGTTTGTATCAACAAACCCTTTAAAGATAGAATGCGTAAAAAATGACAGAATTAGATGGAAAATAAGCAATATACATTTTTATTTTCCCCAACAATAATATTATGTTATATTCATCAGAGTTTTTTAAAAGCTCGGTCATGTATTTGATAAATTTCTTGTAAACTCGGTCATATTTTAGGACAATAATAAATGTGGTGAGAGTGTAATAAAGAATTTTCAAATTTTCATGAGAATTTTCTTGCATTTATTATTGGAGTAATAAACAGACGAAGATTACATGTATAAATCAAGCTCCAAACCGGTCGAATCAATCCGGGTTATTTAACCTGACCTGAGTTTTAAATCGAATCGGGATTACCGTATTTTGGCGGAATATAAGCACATCCCTGTATTGATTTTTCACCCTCCTTAAAAAAACACATTATTATATATCCTATATGCGTATTGATAAATTCGATAAATTTTAATGTTAATTTTATATTTTTTAAAACTATTATGAATCATTTCTACAGGCATATCATCCCAAACTTCTAAAATCCATCTACAAACTAAACCATAATTAGGATTTCATAAATTTCCACCTTTAATAACGTTTCAAGCTCATTCGCTGCTTTACGTACAAGTTCACCGTATTTTCGACGTGTTTTATCAAAAGAGTGGGAAAAAAAGACGGTCAAGTGATGATTTTTACAAAACCAATTATTTCACCTAAATATTTGAACTTATACTCAAGTATGTGCATATTTTAGTTTTGTGCAATTTCTATCGATATACATGTAATAAATATTTAATGTATTATATAGTTATCTATATACCAGCGTAATCGATCTCAAAAAAGAAAGCGGAAATGATGTTTTAAGTGCAGATGATTAGAAATCAATGAATTAATTCATCATGGTCAGGATATTTTGATTATACATATGTTTATTTGGGTCCAACAGAATCTCATAAAGATTGTACATACCTTTTCTCTTCATGAATCATTCAAGAGATTGGAGGAGTATTGTGACAAAATCCTCAAAGAAGAACCTCATGGTTTCAAAACTGGTGATTTTTTGTCTATAAAGTAACCAGAACTTGTGCCTTTACTAGCACTCGATAATACAGTAATGGACGAAATTGAAATCTGGAATTTAATCATCAAATGGGGTATTATAAATACTCCGACTTTAGGCAAACAACATGTTTCAAAATGGACGCCTCAAAATTTTACAGCTCTAGAAAAGACACTTCATCCATGTATTCCATTGATCCGATATAGCAGCATCTCCAGCGATGATTATTTGAAAAAGTAATTCTCTATCGGAGAATCCTTCCAAAAGATATGAAAATGGAAATTTTGGGTTAGATCTCAAAAACTCAGCTCCGCCGCAACCTGTTAAAATTCTACCTCCTCGATCAAGTTCCATTGGCTCTAAAATTATTGACTCTAATCACGCTAAGCTAATTTCAGCTTGGAACGATAAAAAAGATAGTGCCGATTTCTCTGATAATTTTTGTAGGTCGTCATACGAGTTTAAACTCCTCTATCGAGGCAGCCGAGATGGTTTCAATGCTTCGAAATTTCGAGAGCTTTGTGGTTCTGAAACTCAGACCGTAGTTGTCGTCAAAACAAATCAAATTGGAGGAATTTTTGTGGCTATAACCCTAGCCATTTAGGAGGCAACTCTTATAGAGGTTTCAAAAACAAGGTTTCTTATTTAAGTGCTCTGATGCTTTTATTTTTTCTTTCGGTGATAAAAAAATTCAAAATGCAAAATTCTCGCGCAGTACTTCTGGAAATCAAATCGCATTTAATCCTTATCAAGCTATTTACGGTCCATATTTTTATAATGATCTATGTGTCAGCGACGTATGCAATCAAAATACAACAAGTTGGTTTTGTCCTCGTTACTTTACAACGCCAGATATAGCATATGGGATGTCAATAATTCTGGTATTCAATATTTTAATGTTGAAGAGTATGAAGTATTTAAAGTTTACAAAAATGAAGTTAGTGTTAGTTTGGTTGATTAAATTAACCTTTTACATAATTAGCAAAAATCACATCAATGGACACTCGTCTCCGCGTTCTGTATTTCCATAGAAATTTCTACTTTCTGTAATTATTTATTCTTTCCACAATAAAGATAGAATTTCACAATAAAATTAAACTATTAAAAGGAGCGAGAAATGTTAACATTTTCGCGAAGTAACGCTCATGTGCATTATTTCTAAAAGCGTATCCCTTTAAAAAATAGCATACATGTACATAGTTTCAAAATAACACAAACGCGCATCTGTATAACGTATTTACGTACAGTAAGTTGCATTTTTTAAAATTGAAAGCATATGAATACGGAGCGAACACGAATATACACCAAAATCCCGATATATTCAAAATCATTTAGAAATTGCAAATGGTAATCAACTAACTTGAAGAATTTATTGAGTTCTTAAAAACAGGAGGGTGGATTAACCGACGCTCAAAATGCCCGAAATCCTAAATTCCTAATTCCTACATATCCAACATAAAATCCAAAAATACTAAAATTATATAATTCACGTTGTATTTTAAGAAGTTTGGTATGTGATATGTGGTATGTCAGAATCTTAGATATGCTGACATTTTGGTAACGTCGTCGGGATCTTCGGAAGTCGGGGATTTAGCTGTCGGGGACACGCATTATTTAATTTAAAAATTCATAAACTTTTGATTTAAATAAATGATATGTTGAAAATTATTCTAACAATGTCTTCCTCTATTTCATAGTCATAATAGTCTAGAATAATTTTAAAATATTCATTCAATTAAGAGTTTATTAATGTTTAAAATTAGAGGGTGTTTGTCTGTAACACTGTCTAGCACTGTGCATAACGGTATTATTACAAGCTATTACTATGGAGGTAGGTTTTACCCGAGATATAGCTTATAATAAGTTTTGAGGGCTAAGACTG